CGCCATACAGTTTTCCAAACTTACATTTAATCTATTTTGTGTCAAAAGTATTTCACGTTAATTTCTTGCATGAGTCCATGTCTACTGCACCGACTTTTCTAATGTATAGTATATGTTTGCCTTGTAAATCAGCGTTTGAAATCTTTAAATAGATTTGTTGTATTACCGCCCCCTGATTATAATCACAGGCGGCGCGAGATTTGAAAGAATCAATCTATTTCGCGGTGACTTTTCATAGCCTAAAGACGCATTCTTTTCGCTTCTGCAAAATGCAAGTACTTCAACTACAGACTCTTAAACTTTTTTCGAACTTTTCAGATTTCATTTCCCACTTGTAAAATAACCTGTCAATATATTTGTTAATATTTACTTGTTCAAATGCTATGTCTTATTTTTCCTTTGGACCAAAAATTGTTAGTGGGTCATATGTACCAGGAGTTTATAAAATCTCATCAAAAGTGATTATACCCGTTACAGCCATCAGTATTGAGTGTTAACGCACTTTGGGAAATATGTAATTTCATGAACATAAACGAGTTTTATTGAATTTATTTTAATAAAATAGATATCAAATACAATTCTCCTTTGTTAGCGACGAAATATGAAAGTTAAAGCTTAAGGGGTCTTGATGACTTTGCAAAGAAACACATCGTCCAAGGAGAAAGAAAGTAAAAACAGGTAAAACGTGCATAAAACTCAGGTGTTGGGCCATTTTATTCTGGCGTCATTACAGATTTTATCTTGTCTACAATCTCTGGTGGAGAGCTCAGTGCTCGACTTGCCTTTGTCACCTCGAACATGACGAGATTTTGGGGTGGGATTTTTTATATTGTTTTTTTTTTCTGTTTTTTTTTTTTTCGTAGTTTTTCTTTACGTTGGTCCAAATAAATAAAATTCTATATTTTATGGTTCCCTTTTTGAAGTTTCACTTTTCTTCCGTTCAGTTTCAATTGAATACGACTTCTTTTTTTTTTTAGTTTTGTTTTGTTTTTTTTTTTTAACTCTTTTTCAGTTTTATTAATGCTTATCTCTTTTGTTCCGCCGATGATAAGGCCTGGTTCTTTGTTTCTTTATTTGGAAAGATTTCTATCAGGATTTTCGTCTGGATCTGGAATTCCTTTCTTTTGCCGTGTTATATTCTCTTAAATTGACTATACAGATCTATCTATCTATCTATCTATCTATCTATCTATCTATCTATCTATCTATCTATCTATCTCAGTTTATTCATATCTATCTCAATCTGTTCATATGTGTCTATCTCAGTCTGTTCATATCTATCTATCTATCTCATTGTCCATATCTATCTCAACCTGTTCATTATCTATCTATCTATCTATCTATCTCATTCTGTTCATGTCTATCAATCTCAGTCTGTTCATATCTATCTCAGTCTGTTCATATCTATCTATCTATCTATCTATCTATCTATCTATCTATCTATCTATCTATCTATCTATCCTGTGTCTAACGTTGATTCCCGAATATAGGATACGGCGACCTCACTCAATTGCATCTTAATTTTAATGTGCTAGTATTCATATGAAATACAATTTTTGTTGTAAGTTATGTACAATAATCGTTTATGTGCAATATAGGGGAAGCAATCAACTATAAAATTAGGAAATAAATACAAATTATCTAAATACAAATTAAAGACCCGTCATAATAGATCTTTCCATCTTAAATATTCCAAGAATGGTTTGAGCAGAGTTTTTAACATCAGCTTGAAATTTTTCTTGTTCAAAGTTAATATTATTAAGCCTTGGTTTGTTTGTTTTTATTAATAAGGCTTCCATCATTTTAGCAACACTAACATAATAGCATCATCTAAATGCAAAAAAAAAGTCTAAAAAAAAGCATTACTGCCTAAATACATATATAAATATATATATATATATATATATATATAATTATAAATTAATTGATTTAAAATATGTTTTTTTTCGCTACACAGTTCCAACCATGTTTCAAAATAGAAGCTAAAACCCCGAATTTAATTTTGCAATTAAATTAAAAGCATTAGTTCCATTTCATCTTCAAACGAATTTTGGAGTAACTTTAAAAAATTACCGGGTTTTAAAAACACAGCTAAAATCACGTTTCCATGGTTACAGAATATTCTACTTAAATTGAACAAAGGATGTGTATATTTATCAATATATATATATATATATATATATATATATATATATATATATATATATATATATATATTAGTGGTAAATATACACATACATATGCAAAATATATAAATTTATCTTAAACACTAATGACCGTGGAATATTAGTGTTTAAGCTTTTTTATATATATATATATATATATATATATATATATATATATATATGGATATATTTTCATATGTATGTATATTTTCCACTAATATTATCTATATATATATATATATATATTACTAAATACACATATACCTATGTTTGTAATGCAACTTCCATGGTTTCCCAAGTCGTCCGACATTTATGGCAAATGAGCCGCTTATTACAGTTGTTTTTTTTTAATATTTGGTCTCATGTAAGGAACGCTAAATTATACGAAGTTTCAAAGTAAATATAACCCCAGTATATTATGGGGTGTAAATTGAAAATATAGACTGTATGGAGGGAGATATTGGGAAACACAAAGCAAAACAAACGGAAAAAAAGGAATGATGCAAGTTTAAAGTTTATATGGTACATGTTATTTTATTGGGGAAAAAAGTAAAAAGAAAGATTTAAGATGAAAATTATAAAGCGTAAAAGTAGAGGTAGGGGCAGTTAATTTAAGAATTTCGTCGCCAAAACTACACCCTTTTCCGGCCGCGGCGACTGATGTAACCTGTGTTTGCTGTAAAAAAAGTTTCATTCTGAAAAATATTAACGACTCAAACCTGCTTAATATGATAGCTTACACCCATAAAAATCTGTCTCCTGAATTTTTGAATCTGGATAAATATTTTTACCCAAATTCATCTACTCATTAAATATTTTTGGTTAAATAGTTATTACCCCACTTTAATCATTTCAGCGTCCGTTAATACGTAAAAGGTTACACGGCGTTACTATTTTCTTTAATTTTTAAAAAATTTTTCTCACCTTTGAATATCTACACTTTTTAATTTTTTTTTAATTTATATCCTAATATTATAAAATGTTAGCTTTAAGTACTATGCAGTGTTACTCGCTTGAGACAGATTATTTATAAACAATATAAAATCCATTCTTATTCATGTTGTTTTCTCTTTACGCTTTATAATTTTTGTAACTTAAGTCTTTCTTTTTTCTTTTTTCCCAACAGAAAAATAAAACATGTACCACATAAACTTGATGCTTCTACCATTCTTTTTTTTTATTTGTTTTTCCCAGTATCCCCCTCCATTCACTCAATATTTTGAATTTACACCCCATAATATATTGGTTAACTTTGAGCTTTGAATCTGAGTATAATTTCACTTTCTTTCCATAAGACCCAGTATTTAAAGATTTAAGAAAAAAAAAAAAAAAGCTCATTTGCTATATGTGTCTGACGACTTGGGAAAACATGAAACTTTAACGCCATATTTACACAACGTTTCGGCCGTTGTACGCTCCGGGCTTCTTCACGTGTTTGAAAAATCGAACTAAACCATTAATTTCGCTTCCTGTTCTAGTTCCACGTGCTATGTTTAATCTAATCACCGCCTTTACCCACTGTGTCATATGTCCTTGAGGACATCTACGTAAGAATTTATGGATATTATAAACCTAATGTCTTCAGCAAACATTTTTTACCAGTGCTCATATTGCAATTTTTGCTGTTATAAATACATATTTTTACCAGAGCTCATATTGCAATTTTTCTTGTTATTATCGCTTTCCTCTGGCACTACTTATTACTGGTTTCCATATTGCATTCATTTCTATGCTTGGTTGTCTCAGGAGATTTTGTAGCCTAGCATATGTGCTGATTCTTTAAGTTTACGAATTTTCCAATGGTGTTCTTTGTCTATGATCTCAACCTGATCCCACAGAGGGCGATGATCTCTCTTTTCTCTCCATATGTCGTCAGCCACACCTGATTTTCCACTTCCCATCGTGTTTCTGGTGTTCTTGAAGCCTTACCTTAAGGGGGCGGCCTGTCTCCCCTTTATATTTCTTTCCGCAGCTGCATGGGATAGCGTATACACAGTCTTTAGTCATCTTCTCCTCTATGGGGGTGTCTTACTTGGGAGAGATATCTGCGATGTGTAGTCCAGCTTTTGAAGGTTGTCCTGATGTTATATAGACCGCAGATCCTTTGTATTTTCTCTGATAACCCCTTCTGACATAAAAGAAGGCCAGAGCGTACAACGGCCGAAACGTTGTGAAAAATATGGCGACAAAAATGAGGACAATAGTCTGAATAATGTAAATAGTGTACATAATACCTCATCTCAGAAATATAGAGAGATAATGAAACTTTAAGTTGCACTACAAACATAGATATATCTCTATTTATTAATATATACTTCATAGCTCTGTTTAACTACATTGAGCACTGTTTTATTTGCACCATAAAATAACTTGCTTATCTGCTTATGCACGCTATCGCTCGCATGCCCAGTTGCTGATATCTCGTTATTTAGTTTATATTTACTATATATATTCATCCACAGACAGACTGCTTCGCTGTATCACAGCTACTCCGTGTGGCTGGACGTCCGATTGGTTCAAGCCGGGATCGAAACCCGACTGATTTGACAACAATCAGATATCTTACCCCTAGGTCACACGGCAGAAAGGAAGGGAATTTTAACGTTTTTCTCTATACAAAATATGCAAGCGGCTCGGAGAACTGAATTCACTTTACTTGAAGAGTAATGCTTAATGGCAGCAAGAGTCGCTGTTTTTAAAACCCCTTTTCCCTAGAGAGCTCAACCGGATTTCCGGGAGCATATATATATATATATATATATATATATATATATATATATAGATAGATAGATAGATAGATAGATAGATAGATAGAAAGCGAGAGAGATCAGTCATTCAGTGCAAAGAATAAAAAATAACCTTAGATAGATAGATAGATAGATATAAACAGACTGATAGATATATAAACATAGATAGATAGATAGATAGATAGATAGAGAAGCAGAGAATGAAGAGACTAACATAAATAACTACTGAGGAGGACAAATTGATATTTAAAAACAGAGATTGATATGAAACTACTGAGATCGGTAGATAGATAGATAGATAGATAGATAGATAGAATGACAAATAGATAGATATGATAGATATTATGTCACTGAGTGCAAATATAAAAATAATATATATATATATATATATATAGAGAGAGAGAGAGAGTGAGATAGAGAGTGAGAGAGAGAGAGTGAGAAAGAGAGAGAGAGAAAGAGAGAGAGATATGAACGTATGCCTGTCACTGAGTGCGCATAAAATATATATATAAAAAACAACAGGCGAATCCGAAAAAAAATCTTAGTTGTGTGTAAACTGCACTCGTCCCATTTGTAAGGCTACATCTTAATCCTTCCGAATGACATAATGTCATTCTACCTCAGCTCAGATCTGAATGATGCCTTTTGAAGTACACTGCAGTTTGGATAAGGATTTACCTCCACCTACCACAGGGAAAGAAGAAAAATAGATACGAATTTACAAACAAGCGAAATACATCAGCAAAATCAAAGGAATGTAAACAAGTTCATTATAAGAAAAAAGATCGAAAATGGAAACAGTCTAGCAAATCCCTTAAGAAGCTTAGTTTTCCAGTTACTGGTATTCGACTTTGTCAGTCTCCATTGTGAGATGCGATTGAATATTGTCTAGATTTTTCCTTCTGTTCTGCTTTCTTATTTTCTGTTGTAGTTGTTATTTATCGGGAATGGGTGGGGGTTGGTTTCGTCTTTGTAGTCTTGTCAAGTTCAATCATAATAAAAAGGAAAAAATATCAAGGAATTAGTTTTTATTTTGTCTTGCATTCTTTTCATTTTTGGAAAGAATAAAAAGACATACTGTTGAGATATTTATTGCAAACTCTTTTAGGACATTTGAAGTATTACCAGTTCAGACCTTCACAAGTATGCAGTTGACTTATCCTCATCCCCTTCGTATTTCATTTAGTTCTACTTAGACTGAATCTTTCCCAGAAATGTGTTGTATAGTAGTTTTCACAGTGGAGGCTTGTATTTCAATAAGTCGTCCTAAATTAGGTTCGACGTACAAAACGTTAGGAACTTGAAATAAGAGTTAATGACGCAGCAATCTAGTTGTGATGGTTGATACTTCAATGTCCAACAGACTCACTCAACACCACTGAGCTGAACTGGCCACTGCTACTACTACTTATTATCTATGGGAGAGTCTATTACAATAGAATAGGTATTATGGTATAACAAAATGTTTCTTTTCGAACATATTCCGAAAAGGACGCTACCACAATCATAACGATCTTCAATTTGTTTACTCTACCCGAATGCCCAGTGTCAGCTTGTCAGACGAAGAGATAACAGAAGGACGAACTACGCTCTACTACTTTTACCGGGATATCCACTGCTAACCTGAACTACGCTTCCCTACTGTCTTCGAAATATTCACTGCTAACCTCTGGATTCTATACTCAAAGACGACCGTCATCATGAACAACACCTCGTGGTGTACCAGGGAACACCAGCAATTAAGAGGTGCTTCCACGCTCTTCAAAACCTCCAGATAGGGGCCTTGCTGGTAGACGTAGTTCATCTTCATACCCAGGATGCCGCATTTAGTTTATATATTTATATTTATTTTCTTCAGAAATGTACTTCTGGTAATAATGTATTGCTGGTAATGATTTTCCTTCAAAAAGTTTATTGACGGTATTAAAACCTATTTTTACACTTTCATAGTGTTTTAACCCCAGTTTAGAGTTTACCTATTTACCCAGATTTGGGACCCTACCAGGTGCTACCACACCGGGTCAGGGTGGACCTGGGAACGCAAGCAATTAACAGGTGGTTCTGCGCTCCTCAAAACCTGCTGATCAGAGGCCTTGCTGTTGGACTTATCGTCTTACCATGGACGCGGACGGAGTTTACGTCATACCCAGAAGTTTGTATTTGTGTGCGCGTGTGCGTGTGTGTGTGTGTGTGTGTGTGTGTGTGTGTGTGTGTGTGTGTGTGTGTTGATTGTAGCTGACATTTTAGCCCCCTGTCTGGTAGTGTCCATGTCTTTGATTCTTGGCAATTTTTGAGTGAGGAAGATGAGAAAGTCTTTCCATTATGTGTGTGTATCAGATTTCTAGCTGGTGGTCTCGGGACGTGTGTTGACTGTCTTAGGGGTGAAATATATGGCTGAGGAAAAAATCGTAAGTTTGGAAAATTTGGACGTATATGGGGGTGTTTGTGGGCGTGGATGTGTGTCAATTTATTTCTGTTTATATATATATATATATATATATATATATAGATAATATTAGTGGAAAATATACATACATATGAAAAATATATCTAAAAAATTCCCATACATGTATATTTTCAGAAAAAATTTTCCAAGAGGAAGGATCCAGGTAGAACTCAATGTCTAGGACAGAGTAAGGATATAATAAAAAGGCTTAAACACTAATATTCCATGGTCATAATTTATTCCATTGGAATCGTAAATACGATCCAAATCATCAGACCTACAAATTCAAAATGAAAACAGAAAAAACAACTCCGGAAATCAAAAACGAATTTAGAGAAAGAGTAAGTATGAGGATGAGTGACAGAGAGAATTCTAGGAGATGTGGGTGGGGTGGGGGAATTTAAAAAGAAGAGAGAAAGAAAGTCGACGGATGTCTAATGCATAAAGATACGTGGTGACATACATACATCACAGACAATTAGAAGTTAGGATAGGAAGTAGGGGGGAAAAAGAAAGAGAAGAGGTGGGGGAGAGAGATGGGACGAAGGAAAAAAAAAAAAAAAAAAAAAATTTTGTTTTTATATATATATGTGAAAAGTGAATATAAATATAAATAAATATATATATATGTATAATTATTTATATATTATATGCGCGGTACTTATTAGAATTTCAACATTTCAACATACAAATGCGTATGTATAGACATAACACCACCCGTATACATACATGTGTCATAGCCGAAACTGTCTACATATGTTTATATATATGTATGAGTCCCGACGGACGACCAAGTATGTATATGTATATGTGTCTGCATACATCGATGTTTGCGTTAGTACGATGAATGACAAAACGACGAAATCTTCTCCACCACTTCCACAATAACACCAATACACGCAATCTACATAAACCCAAATTTTTAAAACAGTAATCAGTTTGTCTGACGATCGCTAAAGCGTGAAACCCAGGATCACAAACTTACATCTATCCAACCAAATATATATATATATATATATATATATATATATATATATATATATATATATATTACTTTTTAGTGTATCGGGGGAAATGTTTGATAGCTTAGGTTACTTTTCCAGCAGGTATCTAAATTTTTAATTCTTGATTGAATGATGTTGACATGAAAAGGAGGGCATAGAAGGAAATGAATAAAACACCAAAAGTAAAATGGAAAATTATAAACAAAACTAGAACTTGTAAAACTTGGGATGACCCATGCCCTTTATGCCTACATGAAAAACTACACATTATGAAGTTTCTAAATAATACAAATCTATTAAAAAATAGACATGGGTTAACGGTTTTTTGCCGACATCATCACATTTTTGCATTGAATAATTAGCATAAAAACAAACAATAAAATAATTTTAAATTCCATAGTCCTAAAAAATAGTTTAAATGCCCTACAAAAAAAGATAACCCTTTATGAAGTCGTCAAAAAACAAATGTCAGCTACTTACGACAGTTTCTATATACACAAAACCCTTTCAGAAAAAAATAAAATAAAAAATAAATAAATCTCCATAGACATTTAACCAGACTAGACGATGTCATCTTCCGCTTTAAATTTAGACACCCCAACCTTACCCTGACTTGACATCTGTGAATGTAACTTAGATATTGATACAAGTTATTAACACCTTACGCTGCTTTTCGTTAAACAATTGCTCTAGCCGTTATCATAGAAATTTTGATTTCAATAATGAATATGCTTATAAAACGCGTAAATTTCAGAAATAAGTTATTCAAAAAAAAATTCGCTTGAAGATGGAACAGAGCTTAGTACTTTAATTCAATTTAATTCAAATAATTATATTGAAGTTTTCGGCTCTTGTTTTGAAACATGAGAACTCTTTTGTAGCGTTGGAATCATATTTTTAAATAAATAATTATATTTATGCTCTACTTTTGTATCGAGCACTATTTTTTTAAAAATAATAACAAAAATACTAAAGAACTTTGGATTATTTACCTAACGAGTTCTTTCCTATTTTCTATATATTTTTATACACACACACACACACACACACACACACACATATATATATATATATATATATATATATATATATATATATTACTTTTTAGTGTATCAGGAAATGTTTGGTAGCTTAGGTTACTTTTCCAGCAGGTATCTAAATTTTTAATTCTTGATTGAATGATGTTCACATGAAAAAAAGTTATATATATATATATATATATATATATATATATATATCGTCGGCATCCATCCGTCTCGGGAGACGATGGAGTAGCGCAGTGCATGGAGGACTAGGGCTGCCCGGACGTCTGGTTCCTCATCTCGGCCTTGCTAGCAGAGTCCAAAGGAGAGAATAAACCAATACAGTTTGGTACCAGCGCGGTTGCAGGAGTTACCGGAAGGTAGCACAAAGTGCCGTCCATCCACCTTAGGGGCTCCACTCCAGGTTTTTGTAGGGTTTACTCCTTACTCTTTTCTTCTCCCGAAGATTTCCACAAGGGAGTGGAGCTATGTAACCTATAGCTGGGGTTAGGTTCATGAGCACCAGGGCGTGTCCACACACCGGTGGGCCTGCATACTGCACGTTAAGGGGGCCAAAATCCTCCCCCGTCTCCTGTAGTTTAGCCCGAGTCCGCAA